TGGACTGCCTGTTCATGTTGTGAGTGTTTTATATATATATATATATATATATATATATGAGTTGGAGATAAGATATGATTTTGGTTGTAAATTAGGTGAGGGAAATGAATAGAAAAATGAACAAGTTTATGAATGAACAATGGTGGCAGACTGGCGGTTGTTGTGTTGTGAACCTTATATATGATTGGTAACCCTCAAGTTTTGTTTTGTTGTCCAAAATAATGGAACCTTAACTCTTCATCTAACCTTGACATAAAATTGAAACAACTAGAAGTGTCCAACTTCAAATTGTACAAAAGGGCATAGATGGACAGAACAGTATCAGAGGTGAAATCTTCAATCTCCACTGGAAATCTCTTTCATACCGTGTCCCCTTCTGGTAATTATGTCCTATTCATATGGATGCCGAAAGAGTTAAATGTGTGAAATGATGGTTTTAGGTTTGAATCATGATAACGTTTTGGTAGGAATGAAAAATGAAAGGAGAAATAAATGTCTTGACCTGTGTACATCCGCGACTCTTGTCTCTAGTCATGTACCTTATATGCAACGAATAAGACCATACCAAGTTAGCAACTTTCCCAATTGAAGAAATCTCTTTTTAAATAAAGGCATATTCTACTTTTGTTTTCACTTTGAATTTCAACAATCTTAATAGGATATATATATATATATATATATTTTGTTCAGATGATTGATTGCTTAGCACTAGAGCGGTTTAAATTTCTAATGTTGATTTTAACTTAAACTTTAAATTAATAGGTATTAGTTCTTTAAAACCCTTATTATGAACATGATAATGCAATAAGGATCCAAACTAGTTAACTAGTAAATTAAACACATACAACTATACAAGTTTTATTCCAATAAATTCTACTTGAAATTTTAATTACCACTACTTTTTATTTTATAAGGAATTCCTCGCAATTGAAGACAAAGAAAAGGGAGGATGTGGACATATTACGCTGTTGCATGGAAATTTCCTTATTATATCCCAAAATTCCATTCCATTAGGCTTCTCAGCTTTTTAGAAGTAACGAAAAATATGCAAGGGCAGGGGTTGTGAGGATGGAATGACCAAGGAAAAAATGAAAAACTGTTATTATAGCTGTAGTTGAACTTTTATGCTTCTATTTGGGTTGGTGACAAAATGTGAAGGAGACAACAACCCCATCTGTTTTTCTCTTTAAAAAAATTATCAAATTTAGCAGTGTTAATGGAATATAAAAGTTAATTTCTACCTTTTTCTCTTCTCATTTTAATTCTACTTCTGCTTCACAAGCAGCACCAATGGCTTGGTTGGTCAAATTGAAGAACCCTCGGCGTTCACTCACGAGTCATGATACCTGGAAGTGGGATTCGGCTTTTGGGCCAAGTTGGGCTGGCACTAGCAAGTAGGCCTGTTATGCTTGGACCTAACTCGGGCAGATTTCTCGTTTGTCTTGCGACTTTTTAATAAAAGAAGATACAACAGACATCTTGCAAGGGAAAATTGGGTTTGTTAAGAGTCCAATGCCTAACGCATCACTTCAATTTTTTCCCAACCTCACAAGTTACCTCATTTTTCCTTTTTTGGTACATACACGTTACCTCTTTTTTTTTTTTTTTGACAGTTGGTCAATAATTGCACTTCAACTTATAGCTCAGCTAATAAAGTAAACAAAGTACATGATCCCTAACCGACCGCTCGATTCTAATTCTTCAATTATTGGTTTTCGGCTAATAGCTGGCATAGCAACCCTCTGAAATCTGGAATGGACTTTCTTCAAAGCAATTCATCTAGAGCATCGACCACTGAGAATGTCTTTTAACTTCCACACCAATTGGCAACTAACTTATCCCATAAAAATTGCATTAATTGAAAGACATGTTCTTCAGACCCCCATAGTTTGAGAAGGAAAAAAAACTGTCAAATTTCTTAATCATTATTTTGTATAGTGTAGTCAGAAGAGCTAAGAACTTTGCTCCCAAAACTCCAAATTTTGGTAAAAGTTTAAGTAACTTACATTGCATGCATAAAATTAAAAGAAACAATAATAATTTACGAGACTTGTGCCTGATACTGATAGGGTCAAACAAATTCATACAACAAATCCCAGGACGATAGACAAAATGGAGGGATGAAGGGAAAACCCACCACAGAAACAGTAACAGGTTTCTTTGTATAGCAGTGCCGCAACATTTGTAGCCAAAGCTGTACTGGAAGATTACACTAAGCACTACATGGTTACCCTAACGGAATTTATTAACCATTAAGAGATGTTTTATGACTTAACGAGTAAAGAAATTTCTGGCTCATAAGCACATTTTATCTTCCCTTTGTTCATTTCACCGTACCATCTCCCTCAAGCTTAAGATGCAACAGGTTTTGCAATGACCTTCTTAATAGCCTCAGCATAAGTCCTATGTTGATAGGTGAGGGTCGACTCAAGCAAGTCCCAAAGTGAAGTCTTGGGGTTCCAACCTGGCGACAATGACACATGCAAAATTGTCAGAATTCTCCAAGCCCTCAAGGATTAATGTGAAGACCAAGAGAAAACACTAAAGGAGCTATAGAAAATACTGAGTTGTCTATTTATTATGGTCATGTCCGGAATTCTCTTGTCACTATCATCGTATCCTTCGCCATAAAATTCTTTTGAGCTGACATCAATTGTTGGTTCTTCTATTGGTGGTTCTCCACTAACCTTAGCATAGACCTGAAAGATCCAAGTACAGAATACTTTCAATTCCACTACTGGATACAGAACATCGAATCAAATTTATCCAAAAAAAAAAAGGAACGATGGAACTATATCACAAAATTAAATCCTTCACCTCAGTCATCATTTCAGCAAGTTGCCTAACTGTAACTTCATTATGTGGGTTACCCACATTGAAAATCTGACCATTGGCCCTATCTGGATTTTCCTGCACAGAAGGATCAAACTTCTTTAGTTAATCCTTTGGTGTGCCAAATTCAACAAGAGGGGAAAAAGTTAATACGCACAATCATCAAATGAACTGCTTCAATAGCATCCTTAATGTAAACAAAAGTTCTCTGGGATTGACCACCATCCACAAGCTTGAGTGGCTCACGTCTGAGGAGATTCTGATGCAGAAAAAGGAAGGATAACATTAAATTTTATCATAGAAAAAGGTAAAAAGAATGATTAGTGTATCTTATGCCTTATAGCCATGTAAGTAGTTTAACCTACATTACTAAAGCATGCCAGAACCCTCGGAACACCCTCACTTGGACCATCAATGCCTGGAATGAAGTCCATTCTAGGTCCAATCCAGTTGAAAGGTCTCACAATGGTGAACTCAAGACCATTCTCCGCACCCTCAGCTGCAATGAGTAAGAGGAGATAAGTACAAAGAGTAGTTACACATCCACAGAAAAATCTGATAAAAAACCAAGAATGCTCACCATAAATGAGCCTCTCAATCAATTGCTTTGCACAAGCATAGGACCACCTCTGCTTCTCAATAGGACCAAAAATACAAGGGGAGGCATCTTCTTTAAGAACATAATAAGCAGGATCCTGTCACCACATTGCACATGATGAGTGTACATTCAGCGACAGGCAAACACAAAAATCAAACTATTAGCTTAAGATTAACATCTAAATGATATCAAAGAAAATCTCTAAAAACCCTGTTATCGATCAATAAGTACTGTTATTGATTTATGAAAAAGTTTTAGCAATCATCAACACTTCTATTTTATATGGCACATACAAGATATAAATGACACAACTCCTCCCTATACCTCAAGCATGTATGGTGAGTAAGCAAAAATTAGAGTATTCAAAGAACAATGAGAACTAATTAATTCATTAGACCAGATTGCCACAAACTTTTTTTTTTTTAGTAAAAGGCAAAAGAATAGTTCACTTTGTGCTCGCCGCCTGGCTGCATCAGATTGCCACAAGTTAGCCACCTTGGTAAGGCTGCTTTAATCTTGATCACCAAGCATCATAGGGATAATAAACCCTCAGAAACTTTACAAATATCATAAGAATGACTAGAATCCACGAAGCAAGTTATCTAACCATTCAAATGATCATGATTCATGCCAAACCACAAGCATCACAGTCCAGCATGAGCACAAATCCCAAAAGAAAGAATTGATAAAATCCAATTAGAAAACAACACATACATAGGTTAATTCAACCAAGCCCATGTTCTTTGATTTAAAAGATAAATTCATCCTCCAGCCAAAAAAATATAAGATAAATAAATTCATGCAGACAACAATATAGGAGATCATCAGCTCATAACCAACTTCAAAAGCATAGATATGGAGCCTGTACTATAAAAGAAATAATAAATAACTCTTTAAAGTATAAAATTAAAACTTAAGAAAGTGAATGCTTACCTGACGAAGAGAAGAATCTTTAGGAAGAAAGCTCCCAATTGTTTTTCCGTAGACTTCACAAGTGGAGAAGTGAATCAGACGCTTGTTGTTCTCTGAACAGTACTTCACCTGCAAGTCACAATCCACATAAAAATAACACATCACATTCTACTTGATTTCAACAATAACTACCAAATCTGCACGCATCAATGTCACTAAAAAAACAGAGGAAAGAAAACTGCCATAGACTTGGTGAGATTTTTTTGAAAAAAAAAGGGGAGATAACAGCTATAAGAAGGCATACCACAGGGAGAGCATCGATGAAATTGCTGTAAATCGTGTCCAGAGGACGCGTATTGTAATCCGCCGGAGTGCAGATTGCCGCTAGATTTATAGTCTAAATTGCCGAAGAAAATACAGCAAAACTCAATCAGTTTTCAAGAATTCAACAAGAACATTGAAGAAACAAAAATAGAAATTACTAAAAATTGCACAGAAAAAGGCTCATGCATCCACCAAGTCACTAATACGAAAGAGAACGAAAGCGAAATTTCAATAGTTATAGCATAATTGAACCGGATCTAACAAGATAGAGGCATCAATTGAGGTTAGGAACTGACAATGAGAGTATTTCAAAGGAAATATAGATAAGATTACGAGATCTGCTGGCCTCCGACAAAAATCCGAATACAAGAACACAGACATTGGTATAGAGAAAGCAAGAAAGAGAGAAATCAAAGAACAAAAGAAGAGAAACTCACTAGATCTGCCATCTTGATCAGGCCCTCAAGCCTGGAGTCGTTCTTGATGTTGAGTCGGTGGAACTGGATGCGGCCAGCCCAGGGGAGGGAATCCGGTTCTAGGAGGTGCTTGATCTTATCATTGTAGACATCTAAGGCAAGCACCTTGTGCGGCGTCTCCGCCATCAACTTCTCACAAAGGTGCGACCCTATGAAACCCCCCGCCCCAATCATACATATCGTCATCGGCTTTATCGGCCTCCCATCCAGATCCAATCTCACGCCGGTCGCCATTTCCCTTCACAAATGACCGTCACGATTCGTCTCAGACAAGCCGGTTCCGTATCGCCGGAAGGAGGTAACAGTGGTGAACAGTTAAGAGGACGGTAAACGGAGATGTTGAGATATGTTTGTTTGAGGAATGGAGGGAGGGGAAAGGTGTGTGGGTTGTATTTATTTAAGGCAAAACCATAAGTTAAGCCCCTAAACTAATCCCAGAATCGCTATTAAGCCCCTAGACTTTAATTGATGCAGTTAAGCCCTTGAACTCTGGGATCAAAGCAATTAAGCCCCTCTTCTTAAGCAATTTATTTTAAAAATTAAAGTCTAGGGGCTTAATAGCCTAAGAAGAAGGGCTTAATTGCTTTGATCCCAGAGTTCAAGGGTTTAACTGCATCAATTAAAGTCTAGGGGCTTAATAGCGATTCTGGGATTAGTTCAGGGGCTTAACCTATGGTTTTGCCTTTATTTAATTATTTTGGAAAGAGGGAGGGAAACGGAGAAAGAGAGAGAAAGAGAATGTGACCTGGGAAGGGGGTGGGGTACAAGGGGACACGCGAGTGAGCACTACTCGCCTTGCATGGGAGACCCTGGACGCGTTTTTACTGGCTATCCTCCACGTGGGACGCGTGTACGGTGTGCTGGGTTGGATCTTGTTCTTGTCCGGGGAATGGTACAGTCTATATTTTTTGCGTAGAGTAATGGGTTTGCAACTGAGATTGTGATAAGCTTTAAAATTTATTTACGTAGAGCATATTTGGTAAAGTTGGTAAAAATTTTTATTTTTATTTTTTACTATTTATAAGAGAATAGCTTAAATTTTTATTAACGAAAAAATTTAAAATTTATTTTTAAAAATAAAAAAAAAAGTGAATAAGAAGTTAATAAAAAAGATATTTATAAAAAGTATAAGTTTAAAACTTTTTTAAATTTTACAGTTTAAAACTTTTTTAAATTTTACAATTTAAAATTTTTTTAACATTGAAAAAAATTAAAAATATAAGTTTTTAAAATAAAAAATTAAACTTATGAAATATAAATAGTATAAAAAAATTGAAACTCATATAAGTTTCACAAAAAATGCTCTTAGTCATTGTTTGGAAACGTGATTTTTTATAAGTGTATTTGAACTAGCTCATTTTAAATTTAATATCATAATTTATTTTCACAAAATAAAAATGTAATTGAATTTAATATAAATATATAATTAAGTTTATGTATTTTATTACTTTAAAATTCATGTATTTCAAATCATCTTTTAATCCTATTTATTTCAAATTTATGTACATGTTTTTTAATTTTCCTAGTTTCGATAGAGCTCAATAATAGATGATTTCACCTCCCTCATCCTTCTGCTACTCACAATGAACCAAATCTTGGATTGAGCAAGTTTGTATTCTCCTCTTCAACAATGGGCAGGCAGCAATTCACATAATCAACCATCACAGCAGACAACTCCTAAGTCGTATTGAGCAAAGCAGAGTATCAGACACACTCAGCTAGAGTATGTTGGCAAGGGAAGATTAAACACTTGTGGATGGACGAGCATTGGGTGTAAATA